TATTTATAACGAATATTTTGAAATTTTATTAATAGTTAAATTATTGATTGTTTGTATTTAGAAACATTTTTTTGAATTTATAACTTGAAATTTGTGTTAATTAAAAATCAAAAATGTAATTATTTATTTTTTTCAAATAAACAAAAAAATTGGATAACAACATAATCAAAATGCGTTTATTAATTTGTTTTATTTTGTTTTACCATTCTATTTTTGCAACGGACTGGATTAGCAGTCTATTTGTTAATTAACTGTGTTTTTTAAACTAAAATTAAATAGTTTGAGTAGAAAATGAAAATTTGGGTAAAACATATAAATAATAAGTTGTTTTTGAATTAATGACAATTTATTTTAGCATTACAGATGCAAGAAAAAGTGGTTGTCATAGAAAAAGTAGTTGTCAAGAGTATAAAAAAGTATTTTTATTAATTTATTTTTAATAATTATAAATTGTTAGTTGTTTAACAAGCAAAATTACGGGAAAGCAGTGGTGATTTGGATTGATTTTTCAGAAAGTGGTTGTCAAAAGGATGAAAAAAATAAAAAAGACTATTTTTATATAAAAAACAGAAAAAGCACAAAAATATTTTACTCATCTTCAAAATCAAAATTGACTGCACCTTGTCGTCTCGATATAAAATGAATTGATGTGGGGGATGTGCAATTTATTATGAATAAGTTGGGGATGTGTAAATCAAACAAGCAAAAATCACGATTATCAGGTTTGTATATTAATAACGTTGAAAACGAATAATTAATCAATAGACATTCATTAATAAACAATATGTAATATGACATATATTACAAATATGACATTTTGTTATGAAAACTGTTGTTTGTGTTCAAATTAACCAAACGTTTTGTGCTGATTATTGTTTTCATTGTCTTTATCTCCTACTGTAGTAAGGTTCACCAAAAAAAACAAATATACTTCATTTAATAAGTCTTTTCCAAATACATAATTTTTATTATTGTTAAAAGTTTTAAATATTAACATTATTAACATTTGTTTAATACTTTATAAAAACATAAAACAAATTAGTTAATATTTATTATTTCATTTGATAATTGACTTACTCAGTACACTGGGAAAATTTTTGAAAAAAAATCGATTTTTTTTTGCTTTTAATAACATTATTTTCATGACAACCACTTTTTCTATGACAACCAATAATTCTTCTATCTGTATTGTTAATTTTGAATTGCTCAAAAATATATAAAACAAAATTAACAACAAAAGTGTTTATTTTGAACAGATTGTTACAATGAATTTCAAGAACAATGTTGTATTTTTGTAAATAAAAGAATTTGTATTTATGATTTTATTTTATTATATAAAATTGTTTGTTATTGGTTTATAGTCATTACATATGAAGAAATGTATATGTTGTTGACTGTTTTGTAAAGGTATTTCTTTGAAATACAAAGATGCGTGTATTTTCGATTATATGCAGTCAATAAATAAAGTAAAATTTTGATTTGGATTTTTTTGAATATAAAAAACAAAATGTATAATAAAAAAATATAGAAAAAGTTTACATTGTAACACTTCAATAAAAAATATATGTCATAATTGAACAATAGAAACATAATTGAAACACAAAATGAATTAATAAAA